GGAGGCCAAACTATGAATGCCAAAAATCCAAAAGTCACTCCAAAGTTTAGTTTTTAAACAATTCATTGTTACTTAGAAAAACTTTTTTTTCAAATTGTCTTATATACTAGGAATCTCTTTCCAAACAACATTAAAAGGATACCTTAGCCCATAAACTATTAAGATTATTAATTATATGTCACTCCAATTTTATCATATCGGCTATGTTTGTTTGGTGAATGTCTAAACCTTCTTAGATTTAGGGAAACAAAGCATTTTAAAGAAAATAAATGTCACTTCTTGTTAAAAGAGGGAACTCCAAATAAAATTTCTATAGATTTTGTTTATTTTTTCAGTTGAGTTTTTATTATATAATTGAGAAAACTCATTATGCTAGCTTGAGCTAAAGTAATCATATTAATAAAGAAAATAGAGTTTATCTTTAAATTAGAAATATTTTTTATAATTTTATATTTTATGTTATAATATAAACATTTTCTAGATCTCCTAGTAAAATTGGTGTACCCAAATAAAAGTCCAAATTACGAATAATTGCTAACTTAGTATACATTTATTGTTAGAACTATTATTAGTTAAAAGAAAATTGAAGATTTTCTTTTATTTACCTGTTGACCAGATGGATTATGTAATAATTGTATTATAGATTGAAGTAAGAATATGTCATAAACACTAAGATTAAATCATTCAAATATAATAAGTGATAGATGTTTGACCTTCTCCCAAACTAATCTACTTGATGACTAGCCCTAAAGGGCAGAAACCTTATATAACAACTCATTAATATAATTAATTTAAAAAAAGGAATAAGATAAGAAACTAAATCAAAATAACATTCTTTATCAAAACCTATATTATCCAACATATTTTTAATAAAGTACCATCTAATTTTATCAAATACTTTATTGAGATCAATTTTTAAAATCATAAATATTTTGTTGCTTTTCATAAATTTAAAGGAGTAAATTAATTCTTGAAACATAACAACATTATCTATTTCTTGGGTCGCCAATACAAAATTATGTTAGTTTGCAGAATTAATTGGAGAAACATGTACTTTATCTTATTAACTAAAATTTTTGTTACAATTTGATGGATAATATTACATAAATAAATAATTTTATATTAAGTTATATTTTTTGAATGATAACCTTTAAGAATTAATGGTATAATAATTTGATTCACGACAGCTATTTTAGAGGAATTATAAAAATTTTATTGATAGAATTAAAAATATGAGGATGAAATAATTCTTATTTGGATTTGAAAAACACAACATGCAGGCCATCAAGATTTAGAGGTTTATAATTTTTCATATTAAAAAGAGTAATCTTAATTTTCTCTAAAGAAACTACCTTATTTATATTATCCACTTCAAACTTGTTAATATTGTTAAAAGAAATCACAACATTCAAACTTAATAGTAGTAGGAATCTTATCTAAAAAAAAAAATTTAAAATAGTCTTAAACTAAATTTTTAAGTTGATTAGGGTCATAATATCACCATTCAAGAATCTCTAAGAAATTCTAACTTATTTTTCTATTAGCAGATAATTATAACTTAGTGAAAATACTTATTATTTCTATCTCTCAATTAAACTCACTAAGACCTAACTTGATGAAATTAAAAAGCTTCTTCTTAGTTAGAATTCCTTTATATTTTTGCTAACTTTGGAAAGGTCAACTATAAAGAGGTTATTTGTAGTATTCAATTTCATGTATATATCTTCAATTTCAGGAAAAGATATTACCAAATTTTAAAAAATTTCAAGCAAAAATATTATCCTTAAAGCTATCTACATTTTCAATCTAGTCATCACTAATCCATCAATTATTTTTAACTTTATCATCATAATCAAGGTGAAATAACGTAGGGTTAAGAATTTGAAAGAATTATTTTTCTTAATAAAAAAATTAAGTAGAATTAGGTTTCAATCATAATGCAAAATAATCAGATTTAGCTACAGGAATATGAATAAGAAATTAGTTAGAAAATAGAGAGTATCAATCATTATTGACTACCACTTTATCAATTATTTCCTTAAGATCTCCTTTTTTTAATGTGAAAAGAATTCCCTTAAAGTTTAAAATAGAAAGTATACTAGAATCTAAACAAAATACAAAATGCACCATAACTTTATAATTCATAGCCCCTTTCCTCCCTCCACTCCTACTACACACTAAAAAAATATTAACATTTAAACTGAAATTAATAAGTTTTTACCAATTAAATTTCTAAATAGATGAAGATTCAACAAAACAGTGTTATATTTCTTAATAAATTATAAATAATCATACTTATTTTTAATCAGTAAATTTATATTTATTACTTTTCCCTACATTTTATTATTATAGTATAATAAATTCATTAAAATATTTTAAATATTTAAACTATTTTTTAAAAATTAAAATAAACTTGCACAACATACGAGTATTATTATTAATATAAAAGGTTAAAGAAGGTAACATACATCAATAAATTTTTATGAGAGTTAAAGTTGAAAAAGTCTTAATTTCTGTGATCAATGAGGTAGGTTTACAGTAATAAACTTTTCTTCCTGTTAAAATGATGAATCTCAATTTATGAAAGGTTCATGGTGAATGTCTTCTAACTCGCTTAGCTTCACTATTTTTAATTTGGTATTTATAGCATAAATGCTTTTTTTTAACATTAAAGATACATATACAATTATTTCTTCATAATAAAACAAAGCGAAAATCACGTATTTAATGGAAACACACATTCATTATGATTTTCTTGCAAAAAATTATTCTAAATACTTATATGTGAGAAATTGAAACTTTTCTTTGTAACATTTTACACAGATCGATTTTTCAATTAAATTTGATACTATGATATAAGTACTAGAAGTTCTTCTTATCACACACCTTTTGAAACAAGCATGTTATTGAATAGTAAAAAAAAAAAAAAACCCTTGTAATAAGAATTGACTTTATTTTTAGCATGTCAATAAAGTCTTGGAGAGTCCAACAATTTATGACATACTTTTTATTGAATTATGTATGTATTATAAGGAAAATTTAAAGTCATCACAAACACCTTACAAACAATAAAAACACTATGAAAACAATTATTACTTTTTACGCAAACAGAAAAAAGGAAACATTAAAATAAACCGCGTTCTACCACTACTACTAATTTACATTAATAGATGGCTTAGTAGGTTGAAAATATTTTTGGATAGCCTAAAACTACTATTTTAATTAAATATGCTTTTAAAAACTTGATTATTTAATGGTTTAGGTTAGGGTAGTCTTAAGAGTTATTAGGAAAAAAGGATTTTGGAAAGGAAGGAGAAAAAATAATTTTTTTATTTTAAAAATGTATTTGAAATTAATATTTTTAAAAAATATATAAATCAATATATTAATTATGTATTATATAAATAATATATAATTTTTTAATTTACAATAAAAAAATATTCGTCTCGGTTCTTTCTCATTTAAAAATCTTCTTCCTCATCTAAAAATCCTTTGCCACGAATCTCTGTCGATCGCGTTTAGCTAATTTATTCTCATCCAATCATCGGCTTGGAAGGAGGGAAAAGAATATGAAAATATATTGCCATATTTAATTATGTTAATAAATAATTTTGCGAATAAAAAACCATTTTACTTAACCTTGTTACTTTATCATATTAGATTTTGAAAAATCTTATTAACATATAAAAATTATAAACAATTTTTAAATAGTTCTAACTTAACTTAATTACTTTATCTAAATAAATATTTTCTTGCATTTTAATATTTCTACTCTTTTAAAATCATTCTTAAAGGACAGCTTAAATTTGCAAAATTATTTGGAATTATTTAATGATAAACATATTTTAGTCTCTAAAATTAATAAAATAGGTCGCTTTCTTTTTGGGTATTATATAAATTCAGTTATTGACTGTGACAATTTGATGAGATTAAATCAAATCAACCATAGTTTACGTCAAAGTTGAAATTTTCTTTTGTAATGTCAAACATTATTTTAACTTTAAAGCCTAAATTAATTTCTTATTTTTATTTTATGGCATAACATATGTAAATATGAAAATAATAATGGATAGAGATTGTGTAGCGTATTATAATATCCGTTTTATATTTGTTGAATAATAACTTTGATCTTTATTTTTTTATTTATTGGATATCCAATTTTTTATAACCGTACTTGTCACGTATGGTTTATTAATTAAAATATAATTTTTTCAATATTATTTATTAACAAAGCATAAATATTATAATAAAATAAAAAATATATTTTAAAATACTCAAATAAAATATAAAATAACAAATACACATGTTTATATAAAATCAAATAAAATGTCAAATTACAATATAATATATATATATATATATGAAATTATAACAAAATTATATTTTAAAAATCAAATATATTTATATATATTTGATTTACATGTATGTATTAGTGTAAACCTAAACCTATTAAATGGATATTTACTCTATCAACTGTAGGGTAATTTTTGCGGGTAACCAATGAGTATAAGATCTATTGTTATCCTAGCAAACATTTGCCATAAAAAAAACTGTGTACATACTTTGGTATATAAATTTTGCTGTATACACATATTTTAATAAATCATTTAACCAATGACATGTAAAATTTAAAACAAATTTCATGTTTTAAAAATATCTATATTTAATTTTTTTATTAGAAACTATTTTATAAATTAAAAAATATAAAATAAATAAATGTTATAATCATTCTACGTATCCCCTTTATGTTTGGTATCTTTAATTAATAATAATACATTGATAAAAAAAATAACAATCAAAATAGAAAAGAAGATCACTTAAAGAGGTAAAATACAATGTTAATAATGCTTTTATTTTATTTTATTTGAGATTACAACTAAGTGTACGTGTAAAGTTACAGGTATCTCAATTTGCTTTCTCTGAAAGAACCTAAACGTAAGATGTGCCAACTTATATAACAAACACCATACGCGGAATCTATTCGCCATCGTAATCATAATTCTAATTCATAGAAACGTTTCCTCTTCTTTGTCTTCGTTCCTTTGCATTCATCACTCTTTCTCTTATCCTACCAATTTCTATATCCATGGCTACCTTATCTTCTACCACAAAAGAAAGCAACAACCAAGAGGGTACCCAAAATTTTGTTCTTTTCATCTTTTCATTTTTATTTAGAACCCCATTTTTTTTCACTGATAGTAATTTGGTTACTATGTTTTATTCCCAAATTCAAGTGGTTGATGAATGTTCTATGCACAGTGGGTGAGAAAGCAATAGCACATGACGAAAACGTTCTGCAGAAGCATGTTGCGTTCTTTGATAGGAACGACGATGGCATCATTTACCCATGGGAGACTTTCCAAGGTTTCAATTTATCTGTTGATGGACTATTTTGAATATATAAATATATATTGATTTGGTTTCATTCGACATTTATTTCTCACGGTTCGCTCTCTTTGATTGCAGGATTTCGTGCAATAGGATGCGGAATTCCCTTATCGACTGTTGCAGCCATTTTCATCAATTTCGGACTCAGTCGGAAAACTCGCCCGGTATTAATTTATTAATTAATATTTTTCATCCATTTTTTATATTTATTTATTTTTGTAATTTTTACCTTTTATTCCTGTCTTTCTTTTATATATATATTTGAAATAAAATCTTCCTCCACCAGTATAAATTTAAATTTTTTTAATCTAAACTTTTTATTTAACTTATATTTAATTAGATATAAATTAAATAAAAAATTTAAATTAAATATAAGAATTTTTAAATTTATTAAAAATATCACACTCTTAATAATATCGTTGTTGATTTTTTTCCTCATCACATTGGTTACTTACTTATTTTAAAATGCCATGACAAACAGAAATATATAATATATATACATAAAAGGAAATTATTATTATTATTATTGTATAACTGAAAATTAATTGCTACATTAAATAAAAAATAATAATCAAAATATATGTAAAATAAATTATATAATTTAGGGGAGAGGGGTAGGTTTTGTTTAATTTGCAAGTTCATTGAGAAAAATTATTAAATTGGAAAGGAAAATACAAAACACAGACAAACGATAGAGGAGAATTAAATAAAAAGAAATAGGAGAAAAGAGTGGGCACAGTGGGAATTCGGTTCCATAAAAAAAATAAAAATTAGAGTTTATATACGGAATATCAATTCATGTTTTGTTTATTTTGTTTTAAAGAAAGAGATCATATAAATTTGTAAAATTATGAGATTTATGATAAAACAAAGATGTCTGTCATCCTATGCTTTTTTTTTTTTTTCCTTTTTGGTTTTTAAAAGTATGATTTCTCTATAATAGGGATTCTTTTTAGAAGAGTTCACTTGATGTTTATATATTTTTTTCAACAAGAAAATCTTTTGGCTTTAAAATTAAATAAGTGTTTTTAGGGATTAAATTTTCTTATCATATCAAGTGATTTTTTTACATTATGTATTTATTTTTAAATTTAATATTAACTTAAAATTTGAATTTTATATAATATATTTACTATAATATAATTTTTATTGTTAATGATCATATATTTATTTTAAATTTATTATATTTAAAATAGATATATAATATATTTTTAATTGATTATTTAAATTAATAATATTTGTGTTGTATAAGAAAAAAAAACTGGTTTGTAAAAATAATTGTAAGTTTTAAAATTTATAACATATCCTGACTGAAAATAAACGAAATATTTTCTTCCTTAAATTTTAAATGACAAAATAAATAATAAAGATTTAAAATCGAAGGAAGGGAATAAAGATTTGGCAACGTCTAAGTTATAACGAACGGAGTTAAAAAATAAAAAGCAGAAAATGTAAAATAAAGAAAAGAAAAGGAACAGCATATGGTGTCGGCGAATCGGCATCTATTGCCGTGTCCGGAAATGCTTGCTCACAAAATTAACCTTCAAGTTTAAGCAGTTTTGAGAAATTTAAATTATTACCTTTTTTAAAAAAAATTAAATAATAAATTATTATATTTTCAAAATTTATTTATATAAATTATTTTAAAAAATAATTATTTTTTAAATATTTGTAAAAGCATAAAAAAAAGATGTGACAGATATAATATACTTTTTGTTAAATGTTATCCTTGTGAAAATTATAAATTTAAAAATTAGATATTTACAAATCACTAGTAAAGTATTTTTGATTTTTTGAATTAAATTTAATTTTTTATGTGTTCATATTTTATATTTTAGTATTCATAATATAATTTCAGCAAGACAAAATAATTTACATTATTTATATTTTATCCGTATTTATATAATAATTGAGGTAGATAGAAGTTTTTCTTCAGTTTTATTTAAATGAGATAAATAATATGGATAATAACATATTATTTGTTGTTTGATTAAAAAATAAAATTTTAAATTTTTTTATTTTAATCAATTTAAATTTAAAATTGTTGCATTTTGTTTGAAAGGAATCAAACAAGGTAAAGATGGGTGCGATTAATTTTAATTTGTGTGGATGGAGTTCTTTTCCATTCACATTTGACGCTAAGAAACTCATTACTTTTGCGCTGCTTCACGAAAGGGGATTCATGCGTTCGTTCCAGTGCGTAATTAATAAAAATAGATAGTTGCTTTAAGAAAGCTCAGAAAGTGAATCAAAAGTCTCTGTCTTTCTTGTCAAGGCCATTTGTCGTAAACGGGCAACCTTTGTTATCAAAGGAGACAACGGTCACTGTAAGGATAACGGTTACATCAACACATTAAAAAATTACTTTTTTTTTTCAATATATTAGTCTTACCTTTTTTTAATATATATTTTTATAAAATTTTAAATTATTTTACAAAGTTTTTTAAAAAAAATATTTTTCAATTAATGTAAAAATAGATGGCATTAACTGCATGATGGAATCTACGCCATTGACAAAATTAAATTCTTAATTTGATGATAAGAATTTTATCTTTTATATATTCTTATTCTAACTATGAGATATACGTATCAGAAAAATATTCTTATTCTTTTCTCTGTTTGTTTAAGAGATTCTCATTGTAATTAATATTAACTATATTTACAATCTTCCATGTGTAAATAGTTAAGATGCATGGTTGATGATTTTAAGAAAGAATTTCATTATTTAAACGTATATAAAAATTTAATATAATAAATAGTATTGAAAAAACTATTTTATCTGTTATTTTTTAATACACATTTCAAAATTAAAGAGAATGATATTTTATGTTTCATTTTGATGTTCAATACTTGAATATGACAGAATAGTTAAAAATATTCAATGAAGTTTCTTACAAGAGAAAATTTGTTTATGCTACTATTTGTTGGCAAGATATTAACTCAGTTCTTAATTTTTATTACGGTGTAGGACAAGTTTCCTTCTATTTTTCTACCAATTGAAGTTAAAAACATTCAGAGAGGAAAACATGGAAGTGACTCTGGTGTCTATGATAGCGAGGGAAGGTAGATATTTTAAGTGCATCACAATTTGATTTGATGAATTGTTTTATTTGTTTTCAATTTACCTCATCAATTTGTTTAAGGCCTATTTACTTATACTTAAGGCTGTAATTTTTAGGTTTGTTCCTTCAAAATTTGAAGAAATTTTCAGCAAGCATTCACGAACACATCCAGGTGCTTTAACAGCTGATGAATTGATGGGGATGCTTAAGGCAAATAGAGTTCCTAAGGATTATGGAGGATGGTATAAGATTTTCATATACTATATACTAAATAAAATTTGTCATCACCAATGATTAATTACAAGCAAATATAGATAAATCCTATGAATTAAATGTGACCAATTTGATTTTCAGGCTTGCTAGTTACACTGAGTGGAAGATCCTATATGTTCTTTGCAAAGACAAGGATGGTTTATTGCACAAAGATACTATTCGAGCTGTTTATGATGGAAGCCTGTTTGAAATGATGGAAAAGGAACACTCAGAAAAGAAAAAGAAATAAATGCAGATTGATTATTTGTGTTGGAACGCATCTATTTTCTGAATTAATTTCTTGTTGAGTACTTTGGTAAAAGAGTTTTATTTATAGCTATTTTATGAATGTATACTTTATCAAATTGTTTATAAGATGAAATATTTAATGCAATTGGTTTATGTTTTTTTTTATTACTTGAAAAGTGTCAATTTTTCAGTTAATGTTGACTTGTAGCTTTTTTTTCTTTTTCTTTTTAGCTTACCCTCTAAACACTTTCTCGTTGCAAAATACCTCCTTATAAGTTTGGTTAAGATAGCATATTCTTTACGCATTTTCTTAGCTCTCTTGTAATTATATGTGATTATCTAAAATAATAGAGTTCATTAAATTAATTTATGCAAGTGCTATTTAAAAATAATAATTTAAATGTATTATTTATATACAAAAAGTTACGTTGATAATTACTTTTTCCTTTTACAGTAACAATCAATTCGAATATGTAATAACTATAACTTTATAGTATTTTATTACAGAAGTTAATAATTCTTACTAATATAATTGAATAAAAATATAAAATATTTAAACACCATTTGTGCATTTTGATTTATTTCTTTTATTTACTCAATCTTTCATAAATTTTATTTAATCGTAAAGAGCTTTAACAATTTTGAAACAGTAAAAAATTACTAATAAATATAATTAATTCAACTATATTGGGATAGGAGTAAAATAACCCATTGCGTGAGGATATCGTTTGCAAAATCTTGTTAATTATGAAACACCGGTAGTTAAGCATATAGTGCCCTGTCAAAGGATAAAACTTGTTCAACTTACTCTTCGTGTTATTCCGAGTTTCTTCTCTATATAATATGCATACTAAAATTTTTCACATTTATAACAAAAATTGATATATATTATTAAAATAAAATTTATAAAAAAAAAATGAACAGTGTTTATTGTATTACGATTAAAATTTTTCCTAGTTAAAGTATCGATTGAGTTCTTCTTCATTATTAATTACATATTTTATTTATTTTATTCTGAAAAAATATATTCATTAATCAAACACCATCAGTTAATAAATATAAAAATAAAAAATTAATTAATTATTATTTTATAAATAAAAATAAAAAATAAACAAAATAAATTGTTAAAAGTGTTAAAAACAGAAGTAGTAAATTAAAGGGGTTGTTGAGGTTGCAGGATTTCACACACAGAACATCGACTTTTAGCATGTGGAACTGGAAATTGCTTTAGTCACTTGATGTCGTGATTAGTGTGTATAATAATAATTTTTCGTATAATAATAACTTCCAACACATGGGGCTACAGCGACAACTTTGAAATGACCTTTCTTTTCATGTCACTAAAGAAGATGGAAGCAAGTGTCGTCATTAGATGACGCACTAAAGAATGACTACACAAGTTGTTTTTCCTGTGTTTACATTCATTCGTACGAGTATGAGAAGAAAGGGAAACACGACATAAATTACCACTGAAAATAGTAATTAATTAACCACAAAAGACACGAGCTGTAAAGTAGGAAAACAAATTAACATAATATCCACGAGAAAACAAAAGTAGGTGTCATGTCTTTTGAATATTTTGCATTGAATTTGACTCTACTGATTTAGCTTTTGTTGTTTTATTAGTTTACACTGTATATTTATGGTTTTTTTATCAACATGTCGGGAAAATTAATAAGATATTATATTATTCTTAATTTAATTTAAATTTGTGTACTTATTATTGTGGCGTAATTTCAAGTAATAATCATTAGCGGTTAAAATCAATTATTTTGGTTAGTTGTAATAATTGATAAAGAGTGTTTAGAGGATTAATTGACATGGAACCTTTTTATTAGATAAGATAAGACTACCACCAAAGTGCGACCATTGCCACCATCTTGTATCTTGATTTAAAATCATTCACTAGTTACTATGAATCGTGATATTGCTACTAATAACATTGTAAAACTTATTTACTAGTCACTATAAATCATTATAAGCCTAAGTATTCCAGAAGAAACTGAGCCGGTCTGGAAGCGACCCATTTCAGTATCTAGATCTAGACAGTACAACATAAAACAATTTAACATGCTCTATCGTTATATGTTTACCCACTTAAATGTGTAACTTGGCTCTATAATAAAGCAAATCTCAGCATTTTAAATCAATTAACAACAATTATAGCCTATAAAATAACTTTTATTCAAGAGATCTGACAAAATCATCTCAAAACTTCTTGTAATAGCATACCAAATCGTTTCAAACATTGTTTAATAGTTAAAGTAAGCTGCTCTTACCTTAAAACAACAACTCACACCAGATCTACCGAATATTATTTGTTTTAAGGCAAGATTCAGTGAAGATTTAGCTTTACAACGAAGTTTCTCCTAAGATATCATCAACTATCTATAAGAAAGAGAAGAAGAGAAATGAATGATAAATCTAACTTCAAACTTAAAGAAACTTACTTCAGATCCTTCAGAACAGACGTAAAATCTCAGATCTTGTGAGAAATCTAAGTTTACGAAGGTTTAGTGTGAGAGAATATCTTGGTATATGGCCTTGGGTCTCTTTAGAACCTTTGAAAAGTGTAAAGAAATGAAATTTTCGTGCAAGGCCTCCTATTTATAGGAAAAATTTTGAAAATTTTTTTGGATACTGTTCACGCCGATTTTACTATTCAAGCCAAATTTACTCTTCACACTGACTTTACTGTTCGCCTTTTTAAAAAAAATAATTACAAACTTCATCTAAACCTATTCCAATACCAAATAATGTTCGAATTAACATTTAACAAGTACAAAACATTACAGATTACTCAATAATAAATTACAGGCTTAACATGGGTATTCTCATGGTAATTTCGATATGGAAAGCAAGATAATCCCAAAATTCTTCTAGAACTGCCAAGGCATGCCTTTGTAAAATGGTGGAATCGATTTATGCATCTCAGGCAACACCTAATTATGTAAATAATTAGTTTGTATCAAATCCCCAATTCTTGAAGATGTCAGATCAGGATTCATACCTCTTTCTCAATTAAAAGGCTAATAAATTAACAGCTTTCTTTTCAAGAAGTACTTGTGAATATACATTTTTTTTCCTTATTTTAATTAAATAATGCAAAAAGAAAAGGGGGCTCAATGAGGAGCAAGCAAGCTCTCACCGCTTGCAAACATCTACTCAGGATTAAAGTTACACAAAAAAGGAATATTGTGTATGAACTGAGGTGAAAGGGTGTGAATAGAGGCCAAAAATAAACACACGGAGGATTCAAAACTAGAACAAAGAAGGGGATAAAAAAAAAAAGAGCACTCGAGAGAGGGGAGGAACCTGAAAACAGAGAGGGATACCAGAACAACAGAGATTAGTATAAAAGAAGAAGAAGAAAAGTGAGGAACAAAAGAAAAACAAAGAGAAACAGAGAAAGGAATAGGATGAGTGACGAAGAAACAAATAGGGAAGAAGATATAAACGAAAAAACCAGGGTTTGAATACCAAAAATCAGAGCCGCAAATCATCCTAAGTTCTTTGTCGTCTCTGTTGTTACTGCGAGTATTTCTTCTTGTTCTCCTTCATTCTTTGCCTCAATCATCTCAATTTCCCTCATTCTTTCCCATATCACGCCTCTTTTTCTCTCTTCCTCCCCTTTTTCTCCTTTCGCAACCCCAAACTGCCACCATAACCGCCACACCTTAGGTGAGCTGCCATCACCGTACTCCTGTTATTGCAAGCCCCCAGCTGCCGCTCCTAAACCACTGTTACCCTCTTTCTCCCTCTCATTGAGAAATCCTAAATTTTTAGAAAAATTCCTAAGACGGCTAGGGTTTCTTTATCCGCATCTATTTATTGTTTTATTTTTCAAAAAGTCTGGGTCAGTTTTCTAAAAAATAATAGGAAGCTATATTGGACTCCTGTACCCAATCCAAAAATATACATTAAAAAAAAAGATGGTTTGGTTTTTGGGCTTTACATTACCCTGGTCCAATGATAAAAAACGATTGCATTTCTTTTGTTTAATTTATCTTTTATTTTCTTTTTATTTTTAGTTCATTTAATATTAAAAATATATTATTTATTTTATCCATATCTTTAAATTTATTTATTTTTTGTTGTTAAAAAATATATATGTAAATATAATGACAACAATAATAAAAAATTCATTTTAGTATGTCTTGAATCTTGTTAAACTAATATATATATATATATATATATATATATATATATATATATATATGAATTTTAAATAAATAATTTTTATCAATTCACTAAAATTAAATGGATTCATTCTTACATAAATTTTATCTTGATATTTTCATTTATTTTCATTTATTTTCATTTTTAGTTATTTTTTTATTTTTTATTTTTATTTTTTTTAAACATCATCTAGTTAATATTTTTATATTTGTTTCTTTATAAATGATGATATCAACAAAAGAGAATTAAAATTGATTAGAACCTAACATTAGTAATTGTTATCTTAATCACGTTATATTTGTCTTCTAATTTTTATTTACAAAATTTATTTCTTTCATTAAAATATGCAGTAACATTAAAATTAAATTGTGACTTTCATTCTTGTGTTATTGCATTGTTTGTATTTAGTTATTTTATTTCATTTTATTTTTTTATCTTTGTTATTTATTTTTTTAGCATTATTATCTTTGTAGAATGTTGATGAACGGATTTTCATTTGCAAAAAGATTTGTCGCTAATCTCATCAAAATATGCAAAATTTTTATGTAGTCTAGGATGCAAGCCTAGGTTGTCTCCAATGACCTTGGTTAGTAACATACATTGAACATGTTGTAAACATTTACTATGAAAGCAATTAAAAGAGGAGTTTTGTGTGATTCCAATTTTAATGTAAAAACAACTGATGAAATTAATGAGTTCAATCAATGAAATGTGTAATTGATGATGGTCTTTTTCGAGGTGTTTAAAAGATTTGTCGTAAATCCTCATCAAAATTTAAACAAATTAATGTAGTACTAGGGTAACCCTAGATTGTCTCCCATGAACATTGGTTATTAATCTTCATTAAACATGTTGAAGGCATAAATTAAACAAGC